CGGTGGAGTGTGCTTCGAGTTCAATTTCATGGTACAAATTCCGATATTCCTCAATTGCATTTTCCGTTTCAGTTAAGCGACGCTATATTTAGTATGTCTTATGATGAGAAAGTATAACGATATTTTCGATAAATTTAATATTGATCTCCTTAGTGATGGTCGGAATTCCGAAAAAAAGAAACTATTTCTATACTACACTCGAAATGGAAATAAAAACCATAAATTATATAATCTTAAGCTCTCTACCAAATTAGAATAGTACTTGTATTACATAGAATAGTGTTTTTGTTTTTATATTTCGAGTATATTGTGTTATCGGTTAATCTTGTAAGTAATTTTAAGTTTCATATATAAATGTTTTGCATATCTTTAGGTTATTAACACATATAAATATAGCATAATTCTGTTAGTAATTACTGTAAATGTTTAATAGTAATGTTATATATGTGTTTAGAGCGTAAGCCTAAGAAAAAATAAGTGTTCAAGTCACTTTCGATCGACACTTGTTGCGTTTGTTTCATAATGCTCTTTGAAATGATTAATTAATTAATTAAATTGATTGATTAATTAGGTGCTGAAATCAGTTTCTCGATACATGATGTTTGACGACCCGAATGGCGTTGTGGGTAGTGTACCTGCCTCCTGCGCCAGAGAGCGTGGGTTCGATCCCCACTACTGGATAAATATTGTGCGACGAACATGGTGTTTTTCTAGTGTCTGGGTGTTTATATATGTTTAATATGTATTTATTTACAAAAGAAAAGTATGTTTAAGTATGTTTATCAGTTTTCTACTGCCCATAGTACAAGCTTTACTTAGTTTGGGACTGGAGAATGTTGTGTAAAAAAAAATGTATTCTAAAAAAAAAATAAAAAAAAATGTTGCGTTTGGGACTTTAAGCTCTTTAATGTGATTCATAAGATCCGTCTTTAAATTAGGTGACACGAAATCTTGTTGCTTGTGAAGACTATGAATTAAGCTGAACTCCATTGCTTGCAATTAATTGGTAAACTAATCTTATAGGAACAAATGTTCTATGTTATTATTCCACTAACGTAGAGCTTTTTACACTGCAGTAAGAACTTTACAGTTTTTTCAGAAATTTATCGTCGTTTTCGAATGATATTTTTCATTCCCTGAAAACAGGGATAAAAGGACATTTTCTAAAAATGAAACCTAGCTAGATCGATTTTTCACCCCCAAATCTACACACATACAAAATTTCATGAAAATCGCTGGAGCCGTTTCCGAGATTCCGATTTTATATATATCTATATATACAAGAATTGCTAGTTTAAAGGATAAGAGATATCATAAAATTTAGACACCTCGCAACACTCGTAGAAATCGCTCTACAGCGAAAGAAAGGTTTTGAAAACAAAAAAACAAATTGCAAAAAATGCTTATTTACTTATTTGCTTCACCAGCAAGATGCACACCAAAAAATGCTCAGAAATATAAAAAATAAATAACTACAAGGTATTTTAATTACATATTGACAACAGCTAAATTATATTGACAACAGATAAAAAAATAATGACATTAAATGCTAATTTTTAATTTAAATATTAAAAAAAATATTAAAATTTTCAATAAAATAATTAAATGTCATTTGTAGTATATTATTATAAACAATATTAAATAATAATTATATAAATATTAATTATTACACTAACACATTACTATTGGGTAATTCAATACGTGTCAATTAAATGTGATGAGGAATATTGAGATATCTCGGATTGATAGACCCTAATGGCTTAGGGGATGGTGTCCTTTAACTGTCTTTTGCGCCAGAGGATTGGGTACGATCAACAATACTGGAAAAATATTGTGTGATGAACATACTTTTTAGTTTGTTTCTACATACATATGTATTTGTAACATGTATCTATTTACGAAAGAAAAGTACCCTTAAGTTTGTTTATTACCTAGTATCTATAGTCGAAGCTTTGCTAAGTATGGGACTAGATAACGTTGTAGATATTTTTAATATGCCATGAAATATTTTAGATATGAATTGATATTTTATTATCTGCCCATGCAAAGTCTGTCAGTGCTTCTTACATCCTTACTAATATTATAAAGGCGAAAGTTTTTATGTATGGATGGATTTTTGTTACCCTTTCACGCAAATACTACTGAGTGGATTTTAATGAAACTTACAATAATATAGCTTATACATAAGAATACGACATAGGCTATAATTTATATACATAAAATATGTATATAAATTATAGCCTATGTCGTAATGTTACGCCTTCAGCCTATTTTACGCAGACGTAGTCGCGGGCAGCAGCTAGTACTTCATGTAACTTTTAGTGTATTTACTTTACTAAAGTCTTATTTTTATATTCTTATGCAAAATAATATAACTTAGTATTGTTTTTACCGTCAAATGTCATTTATAAATGAGACTTAACTTATATCACCACCCGAGCGGAGAATAACTAACGGCCGGTTTCTGAAACACTGATCATCGTAGATGTCAACTAATCAGCTGTCAAATGGTTTTCAAATTTCATTCTAGTTGCCAAAAAGATCGTTAAACTCTTTGAATTGATCGTTCTGATCATTAGAAGATTATTCTAGTCAATTCAGAGAGTTTAACCGTCCCTTTAGCAACTAAAATCGAAATTTGAAAAGCCATTTGACAGCTGATTAGTTGACATCTACGTTGATCAGTGTTTCAGAAACCGGGCGTAAGTGTACGGCAAAGTTACACAAGTTGTTGATGCCCTCTTGAGTTGCGAACTTCATTGGGATGTAACTCGGTTGCCAAGGCGACGAATTGGTTTAATATTAACAGATCACGCGCGCAGCATCCCCGCTTCGGCGCGCTAAGATCCATCGATTTATCTCGACGCTACTGAATACGACTTCTCATCGTATCGGTGACAGCTACCCTTGCCATTTTCGAATTGACACTCGTTTTGTTAACTGAACATTATTTAAATTGAAATTTTTTTTACATGTATGGACAAAAGCTTTCGGCACTGCAGGATTCGAACCCTCGTCTGCTTGTTTCGCGGCCTGATGCTTTACCAACTGAGCTGGACGGCCGGTGACCGCACGGCGTGAAAATCTCGACATACATGTAGAAAAAGTACGAAAAGATTGTCGCCGCTGTGGGAATCGAACCCACGTCTTCGGCATTCGCGGGCTGACGCTCTGGCCACTGAGCTAAAATGGCTGATAGCCACAGCGACGAAAATCTATCTACATAGATACATGTTCGTTCGTTCTATTGCATTTTTAGCAACGCTTTGCGCCATCTCGTGTGCATGCGCATTTTCCAGTGGCGGACTTACAAGTTTGCGGCCAATAGGCTGTTCTATTTTTGTCGCCCCCGCCCCTCCTAAAATCCGTTGCGATATTTCACAAATATATTAAATTAACACCCGGTTTCTGGGGCACCGATCATAGTAGAATTTAACTAATCAACTGTCAAATGGCTTTTCAAATGTTATTTGAGTTGCCGAAAGGATTGTTAAACTCTTTGGACTGATAAGCCGTGATAGCTCAGTGTCCGGGCGCTCGCCTTTAATTCAATATACTCGAGCAACCTGAGTTCGATCCCCGGTGCCGGCACCAATGAAGTTTTTAACTTTAAGTGCTGACTTATCACGTGCTCCGCGGTGAAGGAAAACATCGTGAGGAAACCTGCATATTTTCGGAATAATAACAAAAAAAATATATATATTTCGAAGATATGTGAAGTCCGCCAATCCGCAGTGGGGCCGCGTGGTGGACTATGCCCTGATACCCTCTGTATAGAGGAGGCCGTTGCCCAGCAGTGGGACATGTATAGGCTGTTACTTTGGACTGATCTTTCTGATCATTTTTATGATTCAGCTGATTAGTTCGACTTCTACGGTGATCAGTGTTTCAGAAACCGGGCGCTGTTCTGTCAATAAAATTGCAACTTAATGATTTGACCTCTAACAGCCTAACGCCACCATCAATCCCATATTGACATAAAAAATCAGTGAACTTAAATTCATAACGACGAAAAAAATTTTCTTTTTTTTTTTTTTCAAGTCGGTTAAGAGCTCAATTTTTGAACATACAACAGTGACGCAGTTGTTGCGCGTAAAGCCGAGAATATGCTTTTACTTTGAGCTGGTGGTTCACCCGATGTTAACTGATAACCGCAGCCCATAGACGTCCGTCTTTCCGTCCGATTACAGCGTAGGCGTCTTCAAGGCAAGAGTGAGTAGGTTTTACTGAGCTAGCGCGCTTACCATCCACGGCTGCATTGCCACTTACCATCAGGTGGGATGTTAAGTCTTGGTCAGTTTTGAATTAAAAATAAAATATTATGCATCAGATTTGATTTATACCAGCGAGATTAGTTTCATTAACCTTTTCCAATTTAAGATTGTTTTAATTTTTAATCCTAGTTTGCACTTAAAAAAAACTTGTAACACACTTGTGAAAATTAAGTAAATATGAGTTAACTAGATAAATTGTCAGTAGCTAAGCCTTCCATTCGGCTAGACCGTCTGGGCGTGTTACTCAGACGACACAGGTTCGAATCCCGAAGCACCGAAGAAAATTTTTCGACAATTTGTCTATTAAAATTGCATTTGATTTTGTTCGTGATGTTCCTATGTTCGGAACCTTTCTAGGCCTGTATAAATAGACCTGCTGGAGGTTTACTACCATATGTCTCCGGAAATACTGATAACTATTGATTCCTAATACAGTAAGAGCATTTCTCTAAAGCTCACCTAAGACCAAACCAAAATGGCGTAAACACCACACATACCATATCCGCCATTTTGGTTTTGTTATTTCAACGAAAATCCTTCAGTGGTGGCCCGCTGACGAACCAAATGGCGTCTCTGGTATTTGTCTCGACGTCTAGATGAGGATTCCACGCCCGCGAAATGTTTATAATGACGTGTGCTGAATTAAATTTTCTCCATTAATATTCCCCTTTTGTCGGACGACCGCACGCTCCAAGCCTCATTCCCGCCTTTGAAGGGCCGTCCTCGATGCGCGGGCGGGACGGCGATAGGGGGGCGCGCACGTGCGAGCGAGACGCATACAGCAATCGAGGACCACTCCTAATGGTCAGCGGGAAGAATGGCGCGCGAGCGTTGACTTTTTTTTTTTTTAAAGAAAAAGCGCGGCAAAATAATTGTGAGAGATGTAACATATTTCTGTTTTTATTTACTTAAAATTTGAAATTATTAGTGAAAAAATGTTTTGTGAGTAAATCTGAAAATGAATACTTTTTATTAAGTGGAATTTTGAACTTATTAATGAAAGGAAATATAACGTACGTCGAACAAAACAAAGTCACTTTATTAAAAGATGCCAGCGCATGTGGAATCTAAGGGTTCCTGCAAATGTCCGTGGGCGGCGGTTATCGTTTAATATCAGGTAAATCGACAGTTCGTTTGCCATCTACCAATATTTTTTTTTCTTTTTTTTTATGTGAAAAGTTGCCAAACGAGCAGACGGTTCACCTGATTTTAGGTAAATACCGACGCCATGGACATCTGCTACACCCGAGGGTTACAGATGCGTTGACAACCTTTTGAAAATTGGGCTCCGGCTACCTCAGTCACCTAAATAATAAAAAATAAAAGAAAAAGATAAAAAATAAAAGAAAAAAAGGAATATATGAAGAGATTGCTTGAGATCTTGAATAGGTGTCACAAGAAATATGATAACTTAGGAACATGACATTCAGACGCCTCTCACATAACCATCAAAATGTGAAGCATTCGAAACATCGGCGATTAAAAATAAATAATTATAATAATAATCCTTATTTCAGACAATACAAAAAATTTGATACATTGTCAATAGTTTGTTAAAGCCGGCTAAGTGCAAGACGAACTCGCGAACAAAGAGTTCCGTACCATTATCTATGAAAACTGCAAAAAATCATGTCTGTTGTATGGGAGCCCCACTTAAATATTTTTTTATTCTGTTTTTTAGTGTTCACTGCTATTGCGATAACAGAAACACATAATCTGTGAAAATTTCAACTGTCTAACTATCACGGTTTACGAAATACCGCCTTGTGACAGACGGACAGACAGACAGCGGAGTTATAGGGTCCCGTTTTACCTTTGGGGTACGGGGAATGAAATGAAAAAAAAAAGAGGAAATCGGTAAATTAATATCGCGTTAGAACTTTTCAGATACTCATTTCTTCACGGAGCCCGCATGGAGCACTTTCAGTGGGAACTTATCGAAAACCTGTAGCTTTTAATGTTATCACCGAACCAATTTCAACCTTAACGCACGGTCTTAGAGTGCTGTTTTGATTGCACGCGCCTATTTCACAGGACTTTCGCATTCGACATAAGAATATCACCTCTGTTATTAGCGAATACGGTATATATTTGACTTTCGACGGTAGCATTAATAACCCTTATCCAGTTGAGATTGACCTTCCTCACCCCCTCGTTGTGACGTAGCCACTCCGAAGCCAGGCGGTCGAGCGTATATATCGCGGCTCAACGGTTTCTGGACGCATTCGACGTCGGAGTTTTGAATTTGGAATTCTGCGTGGCGTAGCCCAGTCGGTCTTCGGGCGCGGAGGAGTGAAGACGTCAAGATTGTCAAATCATTTATCGAGTAGATTTTGATCAGAGACAATTAAATTAGGTACCCCTTTTCATTCCGAGGAGGATGGCAGCTGAATTCGACTGATAGAAACGGGGTGAGTTTTATTCACTATTTAACTTATTACTCATTTCAAAACTATTTACACAGAAACAATATGGTAAATCTAAGAATGAAATCGACCTTTTTAGCAAAAAAATCAGTATGCCCTTGACTTGTGTTCCAAAATCGAAGAGTTAAAGAAATTGGAAATAAAAGGCAATGTGATAAAACTTGAAGTGCCTACAATAAAATACATAAAACAATAATTATATTAATTTAACTTTATTATTCTTTCATTTTCTTTTTAAATAGTTTGGATTATTTTACTTTATGGTGTACCATACAGTAAGTTAAACCCCAGGCACAGTGACAGAGCTAAGACTATTTTAAGTGTTGCTCTGAAAATTATTTTTATTACAATTTTTTTATTTGACTGAAAAATTTTTCGGTATCCTTATAGAGTCCCCCCTTATAAAGGGATTCCGTTTCCGCTCTGTGAATTTGTGCGATAATTGACAGTATGTTACAAATACCCGGTATTATAACTAGCGAATATTCCATCTATTCCTTCTTACAATACAGGAGTTGAAGTCCCTATCTATACGGTCTCCGAATATTACACAGACTATTAAAATTTGAAGACAAAAAAATACGACGAAAAGTCTCTTCACCGCTGTGGGAATCGAACCCACGTCTTTTGGATTCACTCCCAGAGGCTTATAACCATTAATCTGAACGGCTGATTGCCAAAACGATATTCGAACGGGAGATGTCGCCATTGCTATTAGAAACTTAAATTTTATAGTGATAATTTGTGCACTTATGACGAAACATTAAAATTTGTAGAAGAAAGTACGAAAAATTTTTCGCTGCTGTGGGAATCGAATCCACTTCTTCGGGATTCGCGCCCTGACGCTTTGACTAAGCTAAACGGCTGATTGCCACACCAAAGAAAACTACAAGGCATTTTTTTTTTTTATTCTGTTTTTTAGTATTTGTTGTTATAGCGGCAACAGAAATACATCATCTGTGAAAATTTCAACTGTCTAACTATCACGGTTCATGAGATACAGCCTGGTGATAGACGGACAGACAGCGGGGTGTTAGTAATAGGGTCCCGTTTCGCCCTTTGGGTACGGAACCCTTAAGATGTACGCGCAACCATCTTATCTATCAAGATAAAATGTTCCACATTACAGCTACAATCTCTCTCCTGTTGCTTTTATAACGCCGTTAAAATGTAATCTCGTTCCATATAATATGAACATAGGAAACATATTTTCAGCCAAAGATAGTGTAGTAATAAATCTAGTAAAGTAAAAGTAAAGTAAAGTAACAGCCAATACATGTCCCACTGCTGGGCAAAGGCCTCCTCTATACAGAGGGTATCAGGGCATAGTCCACCACGCGGCCCCACTGCGGATTGGCGGACTTCACATATTTTCGAAATATATATTTTTTTGTTATTATTTCGAAAATATGCAGGTTTCCTCACGATGTTTTCCTTCACCGCGGAGCACGTGATAAGTCAGCACTTAAAGTTAAAAAAACTTCATTGGTGCCGGCACCGGGGATCGAACTCAGGTTGCTCGAGTATATTGAATTAAAGGCGAGCGCCCGGACACTGAGCTATCACGGCTTCATAAATAAATCTAGTAATATTGCTGTATTCAGGGCTTAAAAGGCAACAAAAGTTTCTATTTCCTACGATCTCGAATTCACGGTGGTAGCGCCGTGCAGCAGCCTCGGCTGTTGCACGAATGGACAGGCTCGTCCGGGTAAATACCACGACCTCACGGAAGACCGGCGTTAAGTGGAAGTAAAATACTTTCGCGTTTCGTCTGGTGAGTGTGGTGGCCGTAGCCCAATTTTCAGGTGATTTTTCGGGTGTGGCAGACTTCCATGGGCGGCGGTATTCACATAACACCAGGTGAACCGTCTGCTCGCTTGGTGAAAAGTGTTCAAATAAAAAAAAGCTCTCTGCCAAAAAAGTTATGAAGTTATGATTCTATTAGTATTTAAAAAACCGGTCATATTTTTAACGCATTAAAACGCCGTAATTCAAATTCAAATCATTTATTCATCGAAATAAGAAATGTACATTTCATTTATCGATAGTCATTTTTTAAATCGACGACCGTTTCGAAATGAGGTTCCTCTAACGGAGAAGAAACAGGCGAAAGAAACTCTCGTAGGTATCCTCTTTTTTGTCATTTTTTTTACTCAACAATAAAATCGGTATCATGATCGATTTTCTCAGGGACGCGACGGATGGACCTTGGACTATGCCCTGATACCCTCTGTACACAAAGAGGCCTTTGCCCAGCATTGGGACATTTATAGGCTGATACATTTTGCTTTTAATCGCCACGTTTGCCACTTAGCATCGAGAACACTTGAACGTGAAACGTAGCTAAAGTCATTTCTGACGCAGGTTAAGGACGTTTTAAAGAAAACTGACACCCGATGCAGTGTGGGTTAAATGGCGTGCGCAGAGACATGATGGATGAGAAGTTAACTGTGGATTTTATCTCATAGTCCAGTTTTTTAAAATGTTTTATTTAGACCGCTCTACGCAGAAAGATATTTTGGTGAGCTTTTAAACATTAATAAATGTTTTAGGCATACTAGGCTCCTAGCCTTTGCAGACCAATACAAATAAATATTTAAACTTGTTCTCTTAAACTAACATTTTAGACTATGTGTTACATCCATAAACAAAACGAAAAATAAATAAATACCATTCCATTTTCTGACGAAAGAGACATGCCAATGGTTTCTTGTACAATTCAGTTAGTGATTTCATGTGTTTACACGAATACTATACAGGGAGATTTTTTGAGAAGTGCCCAAATTTACACAGGAGGTTCAGACTCGGTAGTATAATAGTTTATTGAAATAAAAAACAAAGTTTTTTTTTCCAAAAAAAAAGCCATTCTTTTCCCTAAAAAACAGAACGTGTTGACAATGCGGTAGTCATTCATAAATACCTAAATTTTACTGTGCACGAACTTGTATGCGTGTTAGTGCGTGCGTAAAATAAATGAGTTGCGTATAAATCACGCACTTTTTGAGATAAGTTCAAATGAATGTAATTAATTACTTACGAGTGATTTTAAATATATCATAGTCATTTTTTATATAACATTATTTATGTCTAGAATTTAATAAAAAAAATGGATACACTTAGAAAAGCCATATACAGGCCATATACAGGATATGATTAAATAATAATGATATATGTTTCTTCGCGTTTAATTGTGGTTTTAATTGCCAACGGTCACGGTAATTGTCATACTTAATCTAGGCTACAATTAACTTTTTAATCATTTACTTTGTTAGATCCGTAGATCTAAAATAAAGATTAGCAAGAGCTTACATGCCGTGTCTTGAAGTCTTGCAGTACTGGTATGACTGGATTTTATGAATTATTGGCTCTCAAACTGCTTGGTAAAGCTAATTGGATTTTGGCATTTCTCTTATTCGAAATAACTGTGGCGAAACATCACGTCCAGTTGACGGCCACTTGTCACACCTACTCGTGACCTGTTGCGGTGACTTATTCTCACCGGCGCTCCAGTCAGATCCCAGTCAGATAATAGCTACCGATCGAGCCGAGGTCCGGCCCTCTCGGGCACCCTCGAATCGGAATGCTAAACGCGTGCTGAGTGACAGCCCAAGCCGAGGTCCCCTCTCGGGGACCCTTGAGCCTGATCACTCCATGGAGCGTCCGCCAAAGCGCCCTAAGAGCTTGGTGGCCTCCCAAACCGGTAACAATAATAGCGTGACGGCCCGAGCCGAGGCTCCCCCGGGAGCCCTCGAGCTTAGTCACCATAACGCCATAACGCGTAATAATAGTACGCCGAGGTTCAGGCTAGGCGCCTCGTGCGCCAGGCCACCTCAAGTCCGTCGGATCTGTAAAGGCCCCTAAGGCCAACAGTGGCTCATCCAGCCGAAAAAAAAAAAAAAAAAAAAAAACAGTCAGATAATAGCTACCGATCGAGCCGAGGTCCCTCTCGGGCACCCTCGAATCGGAATGCTAAACGCGTGTTGAGTGACAGCCCAAGCCGAGGTCCCCTATCGGGGACCCTTGAGCCTGATCACTCCATGGAGCGCCCGCCAAAGCGCCCTAAGAGCTTGGCGGCCTCCCAAACCGGTGATAATAATATCGTGACGGCCCGAGCCGAGGCTCCCTCGGGAGCCCTCGAGCTTAGTCGCCATAACACGTAATAATCATACGCCGAGGTTCAGGCTAGGCGCCCCGTGCGCCAGGCCACCTCAAGCCCGTCGGAACTGTGAAGGCCCCTAAGGCCAACAGTGGCTCTACAAGCCCAAAAAAAATATCACGGGCGCCATATGTCACCTGACGCGTTGAGATACGTACGTAGGACGACCCTCCACTAGAAGGAGTGGCGACGTACGTGTCTTACGGCCGTTATATCGGTTGGCGCAAACGTTATAACAATAATTTTAATACCGACTTATATTGGCTGGGCGTTGGGAAAGATAAAAAAAAGTTACCGTAAAAATACAAAAAAATAGTTTGTCGAACGAAATAAATCGAATGAAAAATTTAGTTTGTTTATACCCTAAACTCGCAACCCGCCCCGCTCTCGCACGGGTGTAATGTATTATACATTAAAACCTTCCTCTTGAATCACTCTATTTAGTAAAAAAAACCGCATCAAGATCCGGTGCATAGTTTTAAAGATCTAAGCATACATATGGACAGACAGACAGCGGGACGACTTTGTTTTATACTATGTAGTGTTGCATCTGCACGAATGCCTGTTCAGTCGGTGATTCAGTAACCTCAGTCATTTTTATTTTATTTTGTTTTCATAACTTAATATCTTTTATTATTTCTATATCTGTTCCGGGATTAAAACGTGAACCTCGATGATTGGAGTGGAGCCAATCGGTAAAATCGACTCTGGAACATTCCACTTTGGCTTTTATCCGACTTATTTCAGTGATCGGGGGATTGAGATTTGCGGCGGATCAAAGAACACCCCCCTCCCCAATCCCCTCTCATCCCCTAGAGAAATAAATCTGAAATACTGTCTTCATCGATATATATGCAGACCGTCTTCTACGTTTAAGTAGCATATTTCTATACATTTCGATATCTATGGTTACGATTCGTTTGTCAAACGTTCGAGCTGGTTAATCGAACATCAGACCAAACATTTGACAAACGTGGCTGTCACTAGTGGCGTTGCATGAGTTAAGCAATGAACATTATGCATATCGTTTCTCTTCTTTGTTGGAACCTTTCTTGGCAGAAAGGTCGTGGTTGTAACGCGGCGCTAAAATGGTGACCATCGATGTTGCAGGGCCATTAGCCAAAGACAGGCTTTTTCTGTTCTATTATCACATCAGGGGTTTGTTTGTCTGCCCCTTCTTCCATAAGAAAATCCTCGTCCTATCCCGTCATTAACACGTTACACGCAGATACACACAGCAGTGATTAGATTCAATGGGACGCAGAAATAAGTGGTCTCTAAAATGAAATGTGATAGTTCCATAAATACTAGTAGTTTGTGATAAGATTTTCTTAAGTTCAAAATCTTTAAGATTCTTACATATAACTGTATTCATTCATTAAGACGATGTGGCGGTTTTGGTTTACGTATTCTTTCACTAACACATTCTTCAATCTTGTAAGGAAGCTGGAGCTGCTAAGTGTTGTTTAATACATCTCCCCAGCACATCCATACATGTTCCTTGGTATATAGCCTGGGTTGCGAGGTGCCCACTCCGTACATGAACACCAGCAACTTAAATATGCACATTGAAAGAAACACTTTGGAACTGTGCTTATTTGGGGTTATGCTGGCTATTAAGGCTTTATCAAGCTACAGTAGTCGCCGTGTATACGTGTCAGAGCTGACGTTGTTGCGGAGAATTTCTTGAAATTCAAAGTTTGGCAATATCTCATTTATATATTTTATAATCGCATCGTCTTATTTCTCTAAATCACTTCATCATCATCATTTCAGCCTGTTTGAGTCCATTGCTGAACATAGGCCGCCCCACAGACTGCCACAAAGCACGATCCTGAGCCACCTGCATCCGACGACCTCCCGCACACTTGCACAGGGGACGAGCCCCCCCACTAAAGCATTTAGTAACTACATATTAAATGACTTCATTTTTTTAAATCTACAAATGAATGGCTCTTTTCAGATTCATCATAAGAAGTTACGGGGGGTAACCAAGAGAGCAATTTAATAAAACTGCTCTAATAATTTTATCGCCTTAATATTTGTGCCCCTTTTTGCCGCTTCCTATGTCCGCTTTCCTCTCAAAAGATAAAAGGGGACCCCACCCTTTTGTCTTTCAATTTTCAAATTTAACGGCGCTTCTAAATACGAGACTAAACGAAGACATTTTCGAGGAGTCTTTTGTTGAGCGCTCTTACTAAAAACGCTAAAAGGACTTAGATTAAATTTGCACAGGCGAATTAAAATCGCAGTCGGAGACAAAGGAAACGCGTTCCGCCATATTTATTGGCGGGAACGACTTGTCAGTCCTCCGCTGACTTCCGGCGGCCATCTTGAAACCGCCGTCATTGCGTGCTTTCATCAAATTGGACCAATTTGAACTTTTTCTGGCTCTTTTGATCTCAGTTCGGTTTCTTATAATTTTTATATGGTAACAAGTGCAATAGTTATCTGTATTTTAATTTAAAACGCCTCCACACCGCAGAATAACGTATCATTGTGATGTAGTAAACGCTGTTACTTCTTTCTGAATGGTAATGGGATTTTTCTAATAAATTCAGTGATTCAAATTTCAATTCTCCACACACGCACACACATACACTCAAAAATATCGCATTCATTATTTAAAATAGATAGCCTACCCACATCATACAGCTGCAAGAACTCGTTTCTTTCTCTATTCTCAGTCAACTCTTCTGTGTTCTCTTACAAAGTCACATTACCGGCAGTGACAGCGGCGGCCGAGATGGGGGCGGCTTCCGACGGCTTCGGCGGGTGGAGGGCGCGCGTGGCGGCCTGCAGGGAGTCCAGGAAGCTGGTGCTGGTTATCGTCGCGATAGCCCTGCTGCTGGACAATATGCTGCTCACTACCGTGGGTGAGTACTCTCGAACCTGGCAGCGGTTCCCGAGCACACAGAAGACAATTGAACAGGCAACTACAAAGCGCGCTCTGACCGAGATGGTACTTAAGATATTAGACCAGGAGTGGAGGAAATCCGACAATTATCGCGAGACGTATAAATCGTATTTAAAAGATATTAAAAAAATACGTAAATTATATGTATTGAAAACACATAAATGAAAGTACAAAATATTCGTATTGAATTTATACATAAGAAATTTAACACATTTATTTTACTTCCCTTGATAATTCTCTAAAATTAGGTCAATAATTAGTGACAGCACTTCTCAGTGATTCTTTGTGAGATTGGTTAGTTAATACTAGATTGATACTTTGATGACTCCGTGGCACAGTTGCCAAGGCTTCGACGTCGGGGGTCGTGGGTTCGATTCCCACACGGGAAAACTATTTGTGTGACCCACGGATATTTGTTTCGCATCTGGGTGTTTTTCCGCGTGAAATTTATTTTTGTGAAACGTCCTTACAACACAGAATAATGCTATCCTAAAGTAAGGTGCAAAGTTTTCGAAGGGATCACTACAAAAGATTACGTGTTGTCAACCGCTAAGTGTTAGTCTCCGGTTACCTCAGTCGTCGAACGAAACAAAAAACGGTGTTTGGGTTTTACTTGGAGATTGAAAACCTGACAATCAGCAGCGGGTTCGAATAGAGGCTGTTGCTTATAATTACTTTAGTATACAGCATAGTAAGTCGCTGTCGCTAATTGCGATGCACTCAAGCAAACGAAGTTAATTAGAGTCGGAAACTATTAATTGCATTGCCAGTGGTACTACAAGTAGTGCTAGTACACGAACTGTGAATTCTAGAAGTGTTTGGGGAAACAGTTCGAAGAGCGAATCATATTCTTCTTTCCTGGCCTTATTATCCCACTTGCGTGGAGTCGTCACTTCATGAGAATCATGCAGCTAATAGTATTAGCTAGGCATTTTACCGGGCACCAATAGCTTAGCAACTGCGCCATCGACTCAATACAATGCGAAGTTAAACTCGAAACAAAAGCTTTTCAAAATATTACTCGGTTAAATATTCCATCTTCTACAATGTAACATCAATGAGAAACGCTTGTGGTATCGGTACTGGTATCGAGTTAATGTATACGAATCTGTAATGCTGAACAGAGAGATCGAAAGCTCGACTCAACTCTGATGAATTAGTGATGAGGCACTTATCTGATTGGGCGGCCATCTTGGACGGTTGGCGGGAAAATAACTGACAGTTGCTTGCTTAGTGATAGCGTAAATGGCGGGTGCTTTATATGCCACAGGTAATTTATAATACAATGGCGTTGGTCAAATATTTTTCTTTTGTTTTTATTATTTATTCTTTGAGTGAGTATATTGAAGTCTTCTCAGAAGCCAGGTCTCATATTCATGTAGTAAACGTAAAGTTTAGAAAGTTTATTTAGAAATTAAAATTTTTATAGTGCTAATCTCTGCACTCAAGATTAAACATTAAAATGTGTACAAAAAGTACGAAAATATTGTCGCCGCTGTGGGAATCGAACCCACGTCTTCGGCATTCGCGGTCTGTCACTTTAGCTGCTAAGCTAAACGGCTGATTGCCACACCGACGAAAATCTTAACGTCTTATTTCTAAGTTTATTTAGTATGAAAAAAGAAGAAACGTTTACTGTTGGTTCTTGTTTGGCCTTATTTGAATTTTCGATCTTGTCGAAAATTCAATTTATATTATGATAAAGACAGACAGACATCGAGACAGAGAGCCGAAAGAGAGATTGTGGGATAATGATTTTTTTTACGTGACGATTTTTACCAGCTCCACATCTCCCCTACGATTACGCTCCACTGTCTAGGGGCGGCCTTTGCCCAGCAGTGAGTGGGACGTAGGGCAACCTTTCACTTCTACTGGGCAGTTCAAGATGAACAAAAACAAGTGCGAGTCGGACTCTATGAAAAAACAAAAAAATCATATCTGTTGTATGAGAGCCCCACAATTGTTGATAATTGGTTGATTGATTAAATTGTTGTTGTAGCGGCAGCAGAAATACATCATCTGTGTAAATTTCTACTGTCAGACCATCACGCTTCTTGAGATACAGCCTGGTGACAGGCGGACAGACAGAGAGACAGTCTTACCCTTTGGGTACGGAACCCTAAAAGTTATTATGCTGACATAAATACCAACGAAGCTGAAAGCGGTGACATAGTGGTTAAAATCCATCGTTCGAGTAAAGGCCTTTTGTTCGGAACGCTCCTTTATTTTAAATACTTCAACAAGCCACGGTACGAAATCTTTAAGTGGACTTTGCCTTTGAAGGAGCAACTCGATGTTGGAAAATTTGATTCTTGAGTTAGTTAAGTAGTAGTAAGTAGTAGTAGTAGTTAGTAGGTGGTCTAGAAATAGGGTAATAATAGTTTTCTAGCGCATTTATGTTTTCATACGTTCTATTTCATCTGTCAAACTCACTGTGAAGTTGATTTAATCTAGCAATGTAAAGCGGAATGTTTTTAAACGTGTGAACAATGTTTTAACAGTGTGGGCATGCGTCAACTTTCTAATAAAACATCATTGCATAGTTAAGTTTGTCGGCAAAGAGTTTTGAAATTTCAATTTGATCGAATTCTTTTGAGAAAAATAAAATCAGTCTCTTCATGTCTCATTGTGCAATATGCGATATATTTCAATCGTCTTACTACCTCGGTTCATGAGATACAGCCTAGTGACAGACGGACAGACAGTGAGGTCTTAGTAATAGGGACCCGTTTTACCCTTTGGGTACGGAACCCTAATTATTCCCCAATCGAAGGGACGGTGCTCTATGAAGCGTCGTTTGTAATACAGGCCATGTTTGCTCTGTACTCGTCTCACGCAAATCCCATTTGCGAAGTCTCGCGACATCGAAACTCCGACTAATAGACGGGGAAAACTGGGCCCGATGTGATTTGCAGCGTAAACGACGCGCATAGGGCTGTGCCGAGTAGGTCTTCGATATCTATATTCCGTCTCAAGTCGATATCGATATCGATATTCGGATGTTGGGTTATACGTTTAATTATGAATTATAATTTGCGTGAGGAAAATATTATCAAATGATAGTAATAATTCTTTTGAAATTCTACTCCTTTTGACACTTTTTGCAATTAAAAAAAAATTCACGCTCATCACGAGCGTGAATTTTTATGATGCGCGATACCTAAAAGCCGCACCAATTTCATGGTGTTGTCATGGCTACCAACTAAAACTTTTTGAAATTTTTTTTATATGTGTAACGTTGTTAAACAAACAGGTGATTGGCGTGATGTCAAAGGATTACCGTCGCATCAACATTTAAAAATGGACTCCAGTTGCCTCACTCACCAGACGAAGTCGTGATATTTCCCCGATGAAGCTGCCGCGTGGTCCCTACCTTACAACTCCTATTAATCTTAAAAGTTGGTTGGTTCAGTGGGGTTATAAATGCGTCGCTAACCCTTAAAAGGGTGACCTCGTTACCTTACCACTAAATGAAACAAAAGTACAACACCTCGACACCACGCCAGTCTTCTTTAGGGTGGTGTACATTCTATGACAAGGCTACGAAAAGAGTACAAGCTTCTAGATGGGTCACCCATAGTACAGAAAAGAGATTTATAGCCAAGCCATTTGTATTACAACATCCTCCATAAAGAAATCCTTATTTAAGACTCATCTTTAATTTATATTAAGGTAAAAACGTTGCAATGCATTAGATTCTTTTCACCACAAATATCTCTAACAAGAACGAATTTTATTTATTAAAATATTATTGCCCTCAACTTAGACTACACATTCGCGTAAACTCAAATAAATACGTAGATATATCGACAGTAGCGTGGCACATCACTAAACACGGCGGCCCCTTTGATGAGGCGGCTAAGTGAATTCCCTCTGATCTCGGCGTCGGGGAAATTGCAGTTTCCGGGCTAAGTTCAAACTAGAGGTGGCGTTAATGGGTGGTTGGGGCGACTACTAATTGGGTGCTGTCCTGTCTTTTGAATAATCAGGGCTTTTATATAGCGGCGTATGGATTGGTTTTGACATAAATACTATCATTCCTATTAAAGCCACATAAATAAATCCTAACAAGGTCACCCATTGTGCCCATCAGTTGTACATTAAGTTTTTGATTTTTGTTTATTTTACTTTTGGTGTGCAATAAAGTATATTCATTCATTCAACAGCGTGAATTAGAGGTACGTATTTTTTTATTAGGTCAATTTTATTTTTAGCGCTAGTCCCTGTACTCAAGATGAAACTTTAAACGTTACGGATGCAATTGGCGAGAATTTAATAACCTTTATATACCTTTTATTTTTTTTACACTGAGATTTATTTATCCTGCGATAAATTTGCTCGTAGATTTTTTTTAATATTCTATTTAAAATCTTTTTACACAACCCGCGAGCGATTCGTGGTATGAACAATTTTATTGGAAATTATCATCGAAACGTTCGGAGAATCCATTCTTCGCTGAAATCGAGTTCAGTCCGCGCCAGAACAGCGATTGCCAATCAAACAGGGCCTTCTCCGATGACAATCGCGCGGGAGAAATTATCGACGCGGCACGAAATAGCGGGAAATGACCTGTCAAACGCACTCGGCCCTCGAAACATCTGCGCGCCCTCTAGAGGCGTAATCGAATACGGACGCGATTGGCGCGAATTCGATGACGTTTATGTTTTTTTTAAACGCGCGTTTTATGTTTTCTTTTTAAATCGTAAACGATTACGGCCGTTGGCGGGAAGTCTATGACGTTTATTTGATTGTATTCGCTTTTTTCCTGCGATTATTTTGCTTTTTTAATACGCCAGCCAGTGGGACATATACAGCGTGTCGTTAGTCGTTACCACCGCGACAATACATGAACACACGTCTAATGCTACTTGCCAGTAATCATAAAAAAATATTACCGTTAAAAAAATCCATAATAAAAAAAAAAAACAAACAAACTAATTAATTAAAAAAATAACAAAA